ACCAGCTGGACATCCTCAAGGGGGCCTTTGATCTGGGAGCCATGATCCGCTACCTCGACCACAATGACGCCTTCCCCGGTGCAGAATGGGGACATCCTTCGGGTGAGCTATAAACCACTCCAGCTATTGTCAAGCCACATACACTAATAATGTCGGATCAGATAACCTAGGTGCGATCCTGGCCGTCGCAGATGTCCGTAGCCGTGTAGCCCTGGCAGAGGGCGACCCCGACAGCATCGTGACAATGCAGCAGGTTCTGGAGGCCCTGATCAAGGCGTATGAGATTCAGGGCTGCTTCCAGATCAGAAATGCCTTCAACAAGGTCGGGTTGGACCACACCATCCTTGTCAAGATTGGCGCAACCGCCGTGTCGGCCTGGCTGCTGGATCTTCCCCGCGAGCAGGCCCTCAGTGCTGTCTCTCACGCCTGGATGGATGGTCACCCACTCCGCGTGTACCGCCAGGCACCTAACACTGGTCCGCGCAAAGGGTGGGCAGCTGGCGATGCTTGCATGCGGGCTGTGCACCTGGCGCTACTAGCCAAGGCCGGACAACCGGGTGCTAACACGGTGCTGACCACACCCCGCTGGGGTTTCTATGATGTCCTGTTCAAGGGCCAGGAGTTTGACCTTCCTCAGCCATTTGGCACGTGGGTCATTGAAACCGTGCTGTTCAAGGTGAACACCGCCGAGGGCCATGGCATGACGGCGGTGGAGGCCGCGCTGGAGATCGCCAATACCCTGCGGGCGCGTGGCCTCGACCCAGCCAAGGATATCCAGTCGATCCACGCCAAGACTCAGGCTGCTGGTATGACAATCATTAACAAGGGCGGAGCAACATTGCACAACGCCGCAGATCGTGACCACTGTCTGCGGTACATGGTAGCTGTGGTGCTGCTGAAGGGAGCACAGGTCGAGACGGCCGACTACCAGGACGACAGTCCCTGGGCGACAGACCCGCGCGTGGATGCACTGCGTCAGAAGATCACAATGGCGGAAGACCCCAAATACACAGCTGATTATCATGACATGGCAGTGCGCAGTGTGGCAAACTCGCTCACCGTCACCCTGACGGACGGCACAACGCTGCCTGAGGTACTAGTAGAGTATCCGCTGGGACATGTTCGTCGCCCCGAGACGCCGCAGGAGGTTTATGCAAAGGCAGAGCGGAATCTGGGATTGCGACTGTCGACCGAAAAAGTGCAGCACATCCTGAAGACGGTGGCATCGGAGGAGTTTATGTCGCTACCGACATGCCACTTTGTGAATCTGTTCAGTTTGTAGCCGAGGAATGTACGGAAGTCTCTACATTAGACATTTTTGATGATGTAGTTTATGTTTATGTCTAAACGATGTATCTACCGATCTATCTATCACAGTACAAACATGCAATGAAACAAAATAACAAGATAATAGTGCCAGCCAACCTTGCAATGCCGAATCCCAGTATTCAAGAAAACCCCATGCTAGATAAAAATTCGAGTAGCAACGTAACAACGTAAGCGTCAAAATAGGACGAGATGAGTTAGTGCATCAGCCCCAAAGAAGTATCCGCGCCGGTAAACGGGTCTAGCAGACTGTCAAACATGCCCGACCCACCATCCGTGAAGATAGGACCGCTCAGTGACAAGGCCGGCCCAACGGAACCTCCCGCATCAAGGAAGAAGGAAGGATCCGGATGTGTCGATAGATTACCGGAAAATTGGGGCGCTGCTGGCGTTGTGTCCCACCCGGCATCGGCTGCCATGGCACTCAGGTCCCAGAAAGGATCCGGCAATGTCGGTTGATCCACCTGGGACTCGGCTACATCGGGGGGCTGGTGGAGCCGAGTGACAACCTGATAGCAGAAAGCACTGACCTCGCGCACTCGGGCCGTATACGAAGTCGCTGTTGTCTGTGCGGCCAGACTGTCCGCGCGCGCCGCGAAGGACGTCAGGAGCGCCACATCCGACGCATCCGCTTGCGGGTGATCCTGCAGCACCCGAATATACACCTCGAGGAAGGGAATAAGGGAGTAGTTTAGTGTTACACTGGAGGAAAGTTAGTATGAGTGGACTAGGAGGGAACAGTGTGCCGCGCAGCCGACATACCTGGCGAACAAGGCGTAGCCAACGCGACGTCCTCCCAGGTGGCCACAATCGCACAACTCCTGAAGCAACTGCAGGCCTGAACGAGCGTGGATATACCGAAGGGACCGACTCTCCGGCCCATTGATGCGGCGTTGCACGAGAACTCGACAGATATATAGTGCGTATTGCAACTCCGCGGCCGCCAGCACCTGGGACGCCTCTGGCGTGCCCGTCGGATGAAGGGCGTGTTCGTGCTGTACCGCCCAGTCCTCTATCCGGCGGCTCAGTTGAATAGCACGGCGGGAGATTTGCTCACGGCCACGCCGCGTGCTGCGGGCTGAATGCAGGCGACGATACAACTCCTCCAGGATGGTGGCCAGCATTATGCGGGCCGTGAACTGATCCTCGATGAGGGACCCACACTTCGAACTGGGAATTGGGATGGCACAGGCATAAGATGGGAGGAGACACGGTTTGCCAGCCGCCAAAGCCGCATGCTTCTATACTCTTGGTCAGGCAAAGTCCTTGTATCAAGGCTGGAGTGGACACTAACGTCAATGATGAACAGGCACCAATAAAGGCGACGACGCTCTGCTTCCTGGGGAGCCCCTGCGGCAGTCTGGTGCAGCCCGATGGTACGGGCCAACTGGCAGGCCTGCGCAAATACCGTCTCAAACATTGTGAAGCTAAAGTATCGGAGTGCTACCAGTGCCTGCAAACGTGAGAATAAGGTCTAGGTTAAGCGGATCGAGGTTGGAGCATACCATACTAAACAAGCTCTGGACGTTGGCGAGACGTGGTTGCAGGAGGCGCTCAAAGTTATTATAACAGCGGCGGGCATTGAGCAGAAGATGCACCACCAAACATCGTTCCAGCGTACTGTCTCCTGTATGTCCCCCTGGCTGTGCGGCACCCGACTTGGCCTCAAGGGTGTGCAGTAGGATACTATTGAATGAACATACCCAGGCCAGGTCGGGCCCATCGCTTCGCGGTCCATACTGTTGTTGAATGGCATCAAGCACGCTTTGTCGGTCATAGAGAGGGAGAAAAGGATTTAGGTCGGTAAAGTACGCTTCCACGAAACCTTCCAGCAGAGTTCGTGGAGGTAGTGCCGGCGGGAGGTCGTCGTACTTTGGCTCAGTGACAGGAGGAGGACCGGTGGCCAGCTCTTGGAAGAGCTCGTTGGCGTCCACCAAATACGCTTCCAGAGGAGTTGATGGGGTCAGCGTCTCGCTCACGCGCGGACTCACTGGTTTGGAGCCGTCTTCTGTTGATGTAATTGACGACATCAGCTGATTGCCCGCAGCCTGAGCCTCAAAGTAGAGCGATGCCACCGGACTGCTGTAGTGCAACGGATCTGCCTCCGGGTCTCGTTCACCGTGAGCAAACAGATCAGATGAGCCATCTGACCAGCTTTCCTCAGACTCGACCGAGCCCCGGCGAGACTCTTCTCGGTCCTCATGACCCTCTGAACCAGGCCGAGACGTGGTTTGGGTTGGAGTGCTGTCTCGCGTGGTGTTGGCAGCTTCAACCACCGACAAGCAGCGAAAGAGAGCCTCTTCAATCTTGCCTAAACGACTGCCGAGAAGCTCCACATCACTCACACTATGAGAAAAGCTTGTCAGACGGGGAACACCCGACCAAAGTTCACCCAGGCAGCACGGACCACCAAGGGAGGTGAGAGGGGTCACTTACAGTTTCTTGGTATGGTTAATGCGCTTGCCCTTGTTGGAGAATTCGCAGGGCAGATTAGATGCTCGACAGCTGGAGCATTTGGGATACTCTTTATTGCAGCGCACTTTGCGGATTCGACACTCATCGCACGCTGGGCTCAGCGACCCCGTCTGCCGGGGTCGATTTTTCTGGACAGACACGCTTGATGCGCGGGGAGTAGTCATGATGTTCGCACAGGTCGCCAGCTTGGTTGATTGGCAACACTCAGGCAGAAGGATCGCGATTTACGACGCACTGATTCAGGGAATACGAGGAGAGCTTGGCTACCATGTACCTGACACTTGGGGGTCCGCTCAACAGGCCATGCACCGGCTGATATACCAAGACTGAAGGCATCTCTGGGCAACACGCAAGGACCACTTAGACCCGCAGACCGTTATCGGGAGAGGACCACCCCAACCTACTCCAACCTACTCCAGTGTCACACCAGGCTCATCAAGCTTCCTCATTCTCTTGGATGGCGTCTTGCAGAAGGCGATCCTGGTGGGCGGAGGATTCCTAGCGCTGACCTCAGCGGGAGGACTGTCAGCCTCTGATAGCTCCGCGTGCTTGAGGGGGTGATCCTGTCTTTAGAATCCTGCACTTGGCACGTTCGATAGCAACATCTGGTGAAGAGGTCCCGGCGAGGAGGAATAGTCTTTCATAATCTTCCGGCGTTATAGCCTCGACCCACTGGCAGGAAGGAGCGTCCGTGTGCTTTCAACCTGTCTTTGTCCGCGTGGCGCAGCCATCGCTCCGTGATAGACATGGCGCTTACCCGCACTGGTCCGGGATGCCAAAGTTCACTCAGACTGCTGAATCCTCCCGAGTGGCAACACCAGAGCAGGCAAGTCAAACGAGCCGTGAAGCCTGTTAAGATAATTATCAGATTCGGATGTCGGATATAACCATAATGGGCAAGTCATCAGCATGGTATTTCCACCCCAGACATGCGCGTTCATATCTCCATCGACAGGGATGATTGTCCTTTGCGCAGGGATTTAGCAGGTTGCAGCATCCTGGCTACATTCCCGAAGATCTGGAACAATTACATGTTATGCTGCTAATTCAGCTACCTAGCAGCTCCGTCTTACTCAACTGGGTGTTGGTTTGTTAAAATGCTTGCAATCGTTCGTCTGTTCCCACTCTTCCCCTGTCGCCCTTCACGTCCTCTGCCGGATCTAAATTTCGACCCTAAAGAAGGTTTCTCTCGAGACCAGCTTGGATACTCTCTCCTGTGTGATGGATAAGCTACGATGTTAGACAAATTGGAGGTGCTTCAGGCTCACAGGCTCAGGATGTTATCGTTGAGATATCGGAGCAAAGTGTCCCAGCGACAGCAACGGCTAACGGTCCAGTCCCCGAAAGGCGTCTGGACCTGTGGTCGACGATCTGCCGCCTTTAGCAGGCGTGGCGCCACGAGGCAGATCGATCGATTGGCAGTGGCTAGACCCAGCAGACCCTCATTATCTGATGGAGCGGCTCCGGAAACTGTTGCTGCCGTTCCTTTGTGGGAGGTGACGGACGCGGTCCGAAATGAACACTTACCGATGTAGCGAATCCTCATCCTATGGGACATGACCCATCCACATGCGACCTGACCAGTCATATCCAGGCGATTCTCCGCCGGGACCAACGATCATCTTGTCTGCTGCAGGATTGTCTCATCTTCATCCCCATCTCTCCCGTTGTGGTACCTTTTGGCCCGGGGCTTGTCATATGACAGACACCCATGCTAACAAAATGGAAGATATATTGAGACTATTATGTTTAATGTTGCAAGTACGGTGTTTCAGAGCTCAATCCATTCCTGCTACTAATGCCTCGTAGGTCCATACTGCGGTACTGACTTACAATTCCTTATATTCGCTTATTCAACGTGGTACTCAGAATACCTTCTCAGACTGCTTACATATAACCCCAGTCGGATTCATGTTCGGTTTGTTTGAATTCCAGGGTGCGAAAATCGGAGAGGACATGTGATTGAGATAAGTTCACGCTGACTGCATGCTCGCCAAGGAAATCCTCCCTTCGTCTCTTCATCCTCTCCTCCGGGCGTAGACGAGACCGCGGAAGGTCATGTCTGTAATTTGCTCTGTAATTTGCTCAGGCTCTTGAGCAGATCGACAGCAAGCCATCACCGGGTGGGTCTGGTTTCGGACGGCTGGGGGAAGGAAGGACCGTGGTGAAGCCGAAATTTTGGTTAGGGCGTCCGCGGGGGCTTAGGCCTCGTATCCTGATCCAACCACGCGCATCCTATTCTCATGTTGGAGATTACGCTGCATTTGTCATCTACATCCAGCAGGAAGAGGCAGTCCCTCAGAAACCCGATATGACCTTCCTGCATAATCTACTCATAGTACTCTAGTCAGCTTGATATCATTTCCAGCACTCAGTCCACCATCAGGTGGGTGGTGTCGTGCTAAGCATTGGTGGGTGATGGAGGGAACTGGCAGCGCGGCTGGTGGGCCTGGCAATCCTGCCAGTCCCATCCCCCCCCTCTACCTCGTCCTATAGGGTGAGCCCTGCAATCTTCAGCAGAATCGACTCACTAGGCTGGTCAAACTAACAGACACTAATTCACTAGTGTATTTTGCTGAATAACCCGCATCGTGTCTCTCCCGCTCGCTAGCAGAAAAGCGACCCCGATAGCTCAATCGCAGCATCGCTCCTGATACCAGTTCGGAGACGGAGTTCGCTGCCCTCGGAAATAAGACGACTCTCTCGGTGCTCGGTATCACGCAGAAGCTCTGCAATCTTGCTGCGTGATCAATCACCTAAGAGCAGTCATACCTGGCAGACAAGAGAAGCCAGAGAGCTCGCGAAAACACCAGTGGCCCACCGACCAGCACGGCCAGTGCCGATCACCGATAAGTCTCCGTTGACTGCAAAGAAAGTTAAATAAGTTAGTCTTGTTAATCACCGCCGATCATGTACCGCGGGCTGTCAAGCACCGTCCCGGGTGAAACAAGGGCGTCTAAGTAACTTTGACGCGCGACTACCACCTCCTGCGTCGATCCGCAAGGCAGTCTAGCTGTGAAGAACGGTAAAGCAACGGACCGAAGTCAAAACTCGATGATCTCGGCTAGGACCGATATACGCAGCGCGACTTTCTCAAAATGGAGTCAGCCGGTGACATGCCACGCATCACAAACGGTCGCTTTAGAGTGAGACTAGTGCGCCCTTCAGCCGGATGAGGGAGTGATGTCCAGGCTCGGAGCTTCGGTTCCATATGTGGATAGTGTGATAAGATGCATGCAGGGTAATACGAGGTACTGCGTCCAGATTGTCCTAATAGGATGATCAAAAACCTCGCCGACGAGTGGCTTACAGCCTATGCATATTGCCGTGCTCCTATAGGGGCAGAGATGCCATCTATTATGGAGTATGTCGCTATCAAAACACCCCCATTGCTACCCGCCTGCGGGAAAAGCAGCAGCAATTGGCTGGCAGTTCTGTTGCGGTTGAGGCTGAGACTGATTATCGTCGACATGGTTCCTTTGCTTGGAAGCAGCGAACCATCTGGCATGAAGTTATCGCCGGATGTGATTGTCGAATGAAGCAAACCATAACTATTTATCCCAATCTTTATGCCACGATCTACCGCATCACGAGCTGAGCTTACCCATATTGGATAGTGGGAACTTTCAGACATTCACAATTATCTTATTGGGCCTTATTGGGCCATTGTATTGGCTACCTGGTGACCATATCTCATAGACGCCATCCTACCCACATTCCAAGTGATCTCGAGGAAAATCATGTCTCAGTCATTTCATGTCTTCATCAGCGACTGTCGGAAACATTCCGAGGCTTGGCCCAGGTGGCCTGTAGGCTTGCATGCGTTCTAGCGCTAGCTTCAGTGACGCTGTTGACCGTTTTACGCTAAGATTGCCTCATTGGTGATAGAGGAACTGTTACAAACCTACGCCATCTCACGGTTCAAGTGTCCGGTGTAGATCTGGCCGGGTCGCCAGATACGTGCCGTACTCGCTGGCACACCATTAGCCTCAGATTGGGATACTTGGTGGGAAAATCGGATCACTTACACATGGCTTCCTTCCAGTGAGCCATGAATCCCTGCGTGCGGGACAATAGCGACAACGGAAGAATAAACTCAGTCGGGAAGCCCCTAATCATTTTGCGTTAGCGGGCCTTCTCTCTGAAACAAGTCCTTCACGGAATCTACCTACATAGCACTGTACACCAGCGCCGCAAAGAGATCGGCGTTGGGCCGCAGCCTTCGGGTGACAAAGTATTCATCCTCCGAGGCGACACGGTCCACCTCGAACGCCACCTTCAGCAGCGGGTTATGAGCGATCTCCTCCTTCAGTTCGTCCAGAATCTGGCGGATGAAGATGAAGCGCGGGTCTGTCACGCGGTAGATGCGGTGACCGTAACCATACAGGCGCTCCTTGCCGGCCTTGACACGCTCTATCTTGGCCGCAACGTTCTCAACCGAGCCAATCTCCTCAAAGTTCTTGTAAGCCACTTCAATGGCTCCACCATGAAGCGGGCCATAGAGGGCCGAAAGTGCGGAGATCATACAGGAAAATACATCCGGCAGAGAGGAAGCCGTCTGCAGGAACGCGGCAGTCGAGCAGGTCATCTCATGATCGGCGATGAGGACCCAGAGACGCTCGATGCGGTCGACGTACTGCGGGTTGGGCAGTCCAGTGCTGGACTCAACGTGGCCCATCATCAGGAGGAAGTTCTCAATGTAGGAGAGTTCCGGGCGTGGCGGGGTGAATTGCCGTCCGGTGTGATGGCAGTAGACAGCAGCGGTGATCATGGACAGCGAGCCCATCAGACGGACGATCTCATCGTCGACGGCCTTGGGATTGCCCAAGTAGAGGTTTTTGGCCGCGTGAGCGGGGATGCGGTCCATCTGGGAGCTCTGGACGGCAGAGAGAGCGGCGATCATCATGCCGATGATGGACGAGTTGGGACTAAAGCTGTTAGACTGTGGTGAGATAATTAGAGCATATAGCTAGTGTGAATCTCACGGGAATGCCTGAATGACTTTAAAGACAGATTCATCGAGAATGGGCACACTGGAAAGCTTCTCCTGAAGTGACTTGGCCTGTTCCGGCGTCGGCCATTCGCCCCAAATGAGCAGGTGTGCCGTGTCGATAAACTTCTTTTTGCCCACAATATCCTCGATATTGTAGCCCCGGTACTGAATAGTTCCCTTCAGGCCATCGCTGCACCCCGTTATCAATTACTATGCGTCATGAACAATCTCTCAAGAGTTAACGCACATGTAGGTAACCTGACTCTCACTGACAGCCGTGTTGGAGTATCCGGGGTCAAACACCCGAATACCCTGCTCGTTCTGATCTTCAGGATGTGCGGGATCCTCCGGGGATTTGAGTTTCTTGAATTCGCTTGCGTTGATGGCGTTGCGCACGATAGGGATAGGGAAGTACTTCCCCGTGCGGCTGTCTACCACATGGAGAACTGGGGGTTCTGGCTTGTTCTCTGCATATTGGGAGCTGCCGTTGCGGGCGACGTTGGATGCGATGTCGGGCATACTGACGGTGATACTACTCTGATATGGCAATAGAAGATAGAAGATCGTAAATCAGGACTACTGTACCGGCTTGATGGCATACCTCGTATATAAACTACATCGCTGACAGGCCAGACGTACAAATCTCCGATGCCGCTTTTACTTGTGTAATCCCTTCTGCTACAGTTGGGGGCTGTGAATCCCTCGAATCCTGCCGTCGGGCATCGGCCGCCGGGCCACCCCCCCTTCAGTCATACTGATGCGCCGAAATGCCCGGGGTCCTCGGACGTCTGTGAACGCGACACTGTTCGGCCAGCAGCTGAAGATAATCGTATCGGATTAATGCTGTCCGCTTTAAGGAAGTGTTTTCTATATGAACAGCATTGTCCTACCACACCCCTCAAATCCCCCGCCGCGATGTCCATCGTCGTCTCCTGATCACCACATATTACACAACACAAGATGGGAGAGTCGATTCATTCACTACTGGACTCAGAGCCGGAGCGACGTGCTCTGGCACGGACACTGCTCATTGAGTTATTGGCGTAAGTGCCATCACCATTCGTAATCACCTGAGAGTTATACATTGACGGAACCTGACTAGATACCAATTTGCCTTTCCGGTTCAATGGTGAGTATTGCTCCAATTCCTGGTTTGAAGTTCGCCACTGACTCCACCAGGATCGATACACAGAAGGAGTTCTTTACGCGCGATGAGGCCGTGGAGCGATACATAGAGGTTGGCCCGGCCAAGGTGTTGTCCACCATGGGCAAGAAGACGATTGCCCGCAATCACCAGCTGCAGGACCAGCTGCGCCTGATTCGCCGTCAATTCCTTTCCCACAGCGATGATTATGGGCAGATCTGCTATGAATACGAAGAGTCGCAGCCGATGGCCCCGACAGAGTCTCAAGCTGCCCCAGTCACTCCAGCCCCAGTTTCTGTGGTCGCTGCAGCCCCGGTTGCTCCTGCTGCAGCCCCGGTTGCTCCTGCTGCAGCCCCCGCAGCTCCAATTGTAGCGGCAGCCGCTGTCGATGATGTGCCATTATCTGCGCTGGATATCGTGCTGGCTCTGAGTGCCCA